GTGAGTGAGTGAGTGAGTGAGTGAGTGAGTGAGTGAGTGAGTGAGTGTTGTAGGAGTGACAGATAGCTTCAAGGTGGAGGTGGGAGTGCATCAAGGCTCGGCTCTGAGCCCCTTCTTGTTTGCTCTGGTGATGGACCGACTAACAGATGAGGTCAGGCAGGAATCCCCGTGGACTATGATGTTTGCAGATGACATGACTTGTGGTGAGAACAGGGAACAGGTAGGAAAAGAACTTTGAGAGGTGGAGGTATGCACTTGAAAGAAGAGGAATGAAAGTCAGCTGTAGTCAGAGAAAGTGTGAATGAGGGAGGCAGGTGGAACAGTGGGGTTACAAGGAGCAGAGGTCACAAATGTGTGATTTATGACAAAAGGGTGGCAGCAAAGGTCAAAAAGGAAGGGTTTATAGGGCAGTGGTGAGACCAGCTATGTTGTATGGTTTAGAGAAATTGACATTGCCTCTTCCTGTTCCGTCTCCTGTCTTTTTTTCCAGAGCTGAAGATGTGCAGGTTTTTTGGGGAGTCACAAGGATGGATAAGATTAGAAATGCAATCAGATGTACAGTGCAAACTGAACAGCTAGGAGATAAAGTTAGAGGGGCCTGACTGAGATGTTTTGGACATGTCCAGAGAGGAGGGACAGTGGGTATATTGACTGATGGTGTTAGAAATGCAGCTGCCAGGCAAAAAGACAAGAGGAAGGCCAAAGAGGAGATATATGGATGCAGTTTGAGAGGACATGGAGGTAGTTGGAGTGAGGACAGAGGATGCAGAGCCACATCTTTAGTTCTGAAAAGCTTCAGCAGAAACAGTAAAAAAAAAAATCAATTTCTCTATCCAAAAAGTCTTGTTTGTGTAGGGACAAATGCAAATGGAGAAGTGTAGATCAGTTTTTAGATCCTACGAGAAACAATCATATCAGTGTGACACCATAATCCAGAAATATCTTATAGGTTTGAGAATAGAGGTGAAAGCAGAAAATGAGTTTAAAAATGTTGGGTCAAGAGACATGACGGAGTGCGATACTATAACTTTTCACAAGAGGGACCCGGCGTGCTGCCCCACTTGGTGTTTAGGCATGGGAAAGACAAGGTACACAGAAGAACATAACACAGTTGAACTGTTTGGATTAGTGTTTAACTGTGTCATCATTCAGTCAATACTGAAGGTTTTTTTCCACATTTAAACATGAAGTGGGACAGCACGTTTGGTGTTTAGACATCAACTCTTGTTGTGGTCAGAGCTCAATCTGTTTCCAGTTAACACATCTTACCCTTTCCTTTCACAACTTCCTTTAAAAAAGCTCGTCTCACATAAACCTTTCCTCCAGAGGTTTATCACATCTGACGGGCCTTACCTCCTCTAGCAGCATTATGGCTTCTTTTGCAAGTTTACCTGACATTTGTTCCTGCAAAATTCTCATTTAAAAGTGTGAAGAACTGGCAGGCAGGGTCCTGAGTGCAGGTTCTCTGACACTCCTCAGAGGTGGCTGTAAACAGGGTCCTGTAGTCGGCTCCAAAGAAGTCCACGTTCTCAAAGACCTCAGGAAAACAAGATTCTGACACACAGGAGACCGAAATGCAGGAAGATGAACTTGTACCACCATCCAAACCATAGGTAAAGTCAACTGATACTGAATTAATCATATTAGTGATTAAATAAGTTATTAGATGATGTGAATTATAGCTTTGATGATCGAGCTTACGTATGTCTTGATTGCAGGCTTTGAGAGAAAAACCAGAAGTGACGCCCGGTAGAGGAGTTTGTGATGCCGGCTCTCCAGACGGAGTGGCTTTCAGGAAGCATTGAAAATTCCTACACAGACGAAACAACATTTTCTATTTAGTTCTTTATTTTTACTATGCGTTATACAGAAATCAAAAACGAAGGTTCCACTTACGGCCAAAAGTGGAACACAAGCTGTGAAGACAAAATGCTATTAATGACTGCCAAACGTTTAAAATACTTTACCATTTGCAATAACTTGTTGTATAAAATGCTATGTTGTTTGTCTACATTATATTTCTGCACAACATTCAGCTTTTGTATTGTATTATTTGTAATTATTTATAACCTTAACATGTTAACGTGTGAGTTTTGTCTTTCTTCCATTATAAAGTACATCTGGACCAGCCATTCTGTGTTTGTTTCTACTTCCTGTCCTCTCAAACCTCAGCCAGTTGAAGCAGATGACCATATGTCCTGAGCCTGGTTCTGCTGGAGGTTTCTTCCTGTTGAAAGGGAGTTTTTTCTTTCCACTGTTGCCAATGTGCTTGCTCAGGATGGGAAACTGAGACGAAGTGCAGATTCAACACAATCTGATGCTTCCTTAGAGAACTTTTTCTAATTGTTTTTTGCATGTATGTGAATGTTTCTGTTCAGTGCACTGAGACAACTTCTGTTGTGACTTGGCACTATATAAATAAACTGAATTGAAATTGTACTTTTTGTCTGCCGTCGAGGAGCAACGAGGGAAAATTGGAAATACCATCCATCTGTGCAGGTTGTGAGCAAGATAACTTGGAAAAAAAGTGGAGGTACCGACTTCCATTTTGATTTGTTGCTCCATAGGCGTAAGAAACATCACCGTTGAAAATTGGGTTGCCACAACAAAATCCAAGATGGCCACTGCCATAAATATCAGTCATTGTTGTGAGCAAGATAACTTGAAATACAACTGCGACACTGACTTCCATTTTGGTGCGTGGCTGCATCTAGGTGCAAGGAAGGTCCACCATCAAAAACTGCATTGCTACATCAAAATCCAAGATGGCCACCACTTTAAATGTATATAAATCGGCCACGCTTATCATTTGAGGAAACTATGCTTTCTTGTTTTTATTTTGCTTTAAAGTACAGTTTCTTAATGACTGGGGAAGCCCTTGGGGGCCCCCAGACCCCCTGACTCCCCCATTGTTCTTAGTGCAAGATAAAATTGCTCCCTCCACTCACCAGTATCTGTCACTCTGCACTGCCTCGGACAAGGACAAAAAAAGTTAATCTATTATTAAATACAGTGCAACTCCTACCCACTTAAATATCTTGCAGCAGAAACATTAAGGTTTCCGTACACCATCCATCCATCCATTATCTTTACTCGCTTATTCCATTTTGGGTCACGGGGGTCGCTGGTGCCCATGTCCAGCAATCACTGTGCGAGGGGCGGGGTACACCCTGGACAGGTCACAAGTCCATCACAGGGCCACATAGAGACAAACGAGACAAACAACCATTCACTCTCTCACTCACACCTAGGGACAATTTAGAGTTACCAATCAGCCTAACATGCATGTTTTTGGTCTGTGGGAGGAAACCGGAGCACCCGGAGAAAACCCACGCATGCACGGAGAGGACATGCAAACTCCACCCAGAAAGTCCCCTGGACCGGGGATTGAACCAGGGACCTGCTCGCTGAGAGGCAGCAGCTCTACCAGTTGCGCCACCGTGCTGCCCTCGTTTCCGTACACTCCCTGTTCAATTTCAGTCCAGAAAAACACAAACTACAAAACTACATTCAATATTTGCATTCCACAAAGACAGAGGATATCAGCATCCTGCTTATATTACAAATAAATATGCTTTTGATTATAATCTCATTTTGGTTTTGTTACATTTTTTAAAT